ACAAATAAAGCAATTTTGTGCCGCCATAGTGACTGTTAACGTAGGAAGATTTGGAGAAGTTGGGGATAAAATTTCCGAGTGACTAACAATTTTTTTCTTGACATAGTGAGGATTTCTGAGCGTGACGTTACATGTGACGTAATTTTATGATCTACAGAGCACACCCCAACCACTTACTCTTACTAACTCCTTTTAGAATTCACCCCAGTGTAATTCAAGTTCAAATAGTGTAACAAGATAGAGACACTCAATAAAAAACACTTGGCGTTTATAACATTTGTCTGTCCAAAAAAGACAGCGAATAAAAAGTTAGTACCATCCCATGATGAATAGCTTCCACAACAACGGTACGACTGTAACGTCTATTGTTTGTGTGTTAAAATACCATGGAAAACAAGAAGAAATATAAGTAAAAACGGAGCAATTTTGGATATTGAAAACCTTTCATCCAAGGTCGATCATTCCTTATTTCCTTAAAATTCTCCCATTTATCACTGCGTATCCTAACACCACGCAAGGTAGAGCCTTGAGAGACATTTGTGGATCAAAACTGCCTCTCGACGATCGCAAGAATGCCTCGATTCATTCAACTGACATATCCATTATCTTTGGGCGGAGGACGCCTCAGCCGGCTGCACTCGTTTGCACGTGCGAAATGCATCATGATATTTGATGTCTGCTACACCTAGTTTTTTGCCTAGGATATTGTGCACCAAGATCGTGACGAACTTCCGGTCGTGCTGACGTCATCGTCGTCATCGGATTCGTCGCCTGCCGGTATGTCGTCCTCATCCTCGCTGCTCTCCGTGTCACTAAAATCCGGGAAACTGAAGCGCCGGATATGCTTAGCTGTGACGTAGCAGTCCTCTGTTTCCGGTCTGTGAAAAAAGAGAAAATTTGGTTAACTTTTCCTCACACAAATAGAAAGCTAGCTCCGTTTGTCATTGAGCAACAAGTATATCACTTTAATAGTTCCAAAATCTAATACTTCTATCGTCGTTGGTTGTCTTCAGCAGATTAAAGTTAGTTTGGGAACCGTCTATAGAGAGGTTTATGATATCACCTGTCTTCGTTTGCTGTTTTGATCAAAATTCCCCTTACGGCTTTTTTCCTTCAACCCTCTTCACCCCAAAATAAGTATGCATATTCTCCACACTGTTCTCTATAAATTTTCCTAACGTGCTGACAAGGAGAATTTGTTTAACAATCAAGAACTTTTTTAACTGGTGATCACATACTTAATACTCGTGACCTTGATGTTTGATTCATGGGTGATATTGTAAGGAGAAACTTGATGCTGGTCACTTAGGGGTCAAAGGGTTAAAAGGCTTATGGGTGTAATCGTTGTTTCCTTTGATGAGACAGTCATTTAGGGAGTGAGCGTCAATTCGAAAAGGCATTCACATAAATTAATTCCTCAAATCTCACGATTTCGGTTACTGCTTCGATGCTAATTAGAAGATAAAGTGCGACTGAAGGTACGCATTATGACTTCTGTCAGCTACATGCACCAAGGCGAGATCCGGAGTTAAACATTTTTTGCCTTTTGAAAACTCGTTTGTCTCCCGACTAATGCTAAGAGAGAGTGAAATTGAAAGAAATGTTGGTTGCGGGAAAAGAAATCTTCATCTACCTCGATCGTTTCTTGACCTTTGAACTCGGCAACTGATCCCAAAGTTTCAGCTCCACTCCTCCCGTGCACATCCTGTGAAGGGTCACGTGATCGCGCGCTGTCTGCGTGCATGATAGGCACGTGATGCTTCCGGTGTTTCTGTCGTCTACGGTTGCTACATATTCCTCTGAGGGTAAACTGCGAACTAAACCAACGAAAATGGGACAACTTAAACTGAGTTCAAGATCAACCAACAAACCTGCTTAAATGATCTGTTAGGAGCAATTTTTTGAGTTTATTGATTAAATTGGTTTGATTTCCTTCTTTAATTGGCCCACAGGACTCAGTCAACCTTTCATCCAATCAGATGCAAAACTGGAACCAATCAAGACAACGTCACACGAATTTCCCCGCCCTCCACACACGTCACCTCTCTTCACTTGAGTGCTCACTGGTTCTTTGAGATATTTTTTTATATTCTAATTGGGAGCCAGTCGTGTTGCCGTTTTTCTGGGGCGAGTTAATGTTACATGCTCGCAATCATTTATTTGACCGGCCATGTTTGACTTAGAGTTAAAGTGGACGGTGTGGCTAGGAGGCGGGGTCCGGCCCCTGCCTCTTTCCTCTCCCCAGCCTTCCGCTGCCGAAGATGGCGGCTATTTTTTTTCACCAAGAAGAAACATGTACTGAGCACTCGCTGGCCAAAATTACGTCTGGTCTAAAGGCTATCTAATTTGCCGATGTTTGTATGCTCTTGTGATCTGACTCCAGTCGAGTTTTACTGGGTGTGCAAAGAGCGTGAATAGCTCTTTTAAAGCTATAGAATAATTATTCATGCAACATCATGAAGCCATGATGTGAGGCAACCACACAGAGCAAGGTAAAAAAACCCAAGCCATACCATTCAAGTATCCATTCCCACGGTCCAGGTCGTAACCAGCGCTAACAAGACACGAATCCGTCGTTTCCATGGCACCTGTCGACCCGAATTCTGTTACGTGATTACGAATCTTTCGGAGTTTACCTAAGCGGTGAAAAAGAAAAAATTAGTCAGGCATCATAGGATGAGATTTAGGCATGACCAGAAGTAATTCAAGTAAATTTATGCGATATCTGTACCTGATTTCAAGTCCATTGCCTTCATGTTAACTCCATCATCTCCCCAGTAAATTGTTTCCTCTGTTGTTGCCAAGCAACGCACCCTTCTGGGTTTGACGGTCACACCCGCGGTAGTTTGGCCCACAGGAGCCTGGTCCGAGCTCATGACAGGCTTAAGAGAATTGTCTCTCACGTCCCAGACTTTCACCACTCCACTGGCCGAGCCACTAATCACACGGTCGTCCTGGAACTAGAAGATAAAATAATAGCCAAAAAAATATTTAAACGAAGTCCAGCAGTTTGAGCAAGAATTATGCTCTTTCTAATTTTTTAAAAGTAAAAACGCTTGTACTCTTTTCACATGAAAAAATCAAATTTCTCTACATAACCTTTGGCTAAGCCTAAAAGCAACAAATTCGTATATATAAGAGCGAAAAGTATCATTTCATGAATGAAATTCGCTTAATTTTTCTTAGAAAGTAATAATTAGCAGTTTCCAAACCTTTTGACGAAACCCTAATCATACTGCATTACTTTTCAGGCCCAAAAATCAAATGATAATACTAAGCATTCCATGACCAATCCCAGCCTTTTAAATAATTACTGGGTGCCCCTTCCCCATACTAGGGCTCCTGCCCATACCTATTTCCAATTCCTGCTTTTATTAACACCCGCGAACACCAGCCGAAAAAAATTGAAAAGCCAGTATTCATGCGGGCGTGATTTCCGCTTGTCCGCCTACAAAAACTATGTTACCATGGATACCTTGATGGCCGTGACGGCATCTTCATCGTGACCACGCACAGATCTCACAGCATTTCCGGTCTCAAGGTCCCACAGCTCAACTTTACCGCCATCTATAAAATTACATAATAGTTTTTGCCTTCCACTTTTTATAAAACATACAAGACCATTCACTCGGATTCACACGATTAATTGAGAGGTTCTTTTTTTATTTGAAATCAACGGAGTTTCGCCGTTTCTCTGACAGACGAATATATTTGTCACTCTGCGACTCACGATTAAAACAGATCAACAGATCAAATATGTTAACTAATATCAGTTGGTCATTCAAGCAACAATTCAAATGTAAACACAGAAAAAAAGCTTGTTAAGATACAAGTGATACTGAATTGCCGTTCTAATTCTCATATTCATAGTTTTTTATGTTACGTTTCGCGTCAGTAAAACAAAGAGTTCGATTATTTACACCATATTCTGTTGTAACTGATATCTTGAAGACCCCAGCCAAGGCTGACGCAATAAATTACTTTGCTTGTTTCTCACACAGAAAGTGCAACTGATCCAGCGACACTCAGTATAAACACTACGCTTATGACGTTCTGGTTATGTTTAAGTTATGACGTCCGTCTTAAAGTCTACGCGTTGGCAAACTAAGGGAACAAAGTTCGCTCGCTTACAGGAACGTGATCAACATAGCCATATCACATGCTAGCATAAGAACTTTGACCAACCTAGTCCAGCCGCTGTTAGATTACGGCGACAGTCGAGGCATTCAACAGGTGAAAAGGCATACATGGATCGCTCTATCTGACCTGAGGAAAGAGAAGGAAGAAATCACTTTACAACAAAAAAAATTTTACTGCGCAATAAGAATTATGAAAGGGAAAATCCTTCGAGCCACAAGTATCTACAAATGAAATCGAAAACGAAAACATATTCACATCACTTACGGACAAATCCCATTTTTGAATAGAAAGGAAATAGTACTGCTCCCAAACCACTGCTAATATTTTAAGCGCTTTCCAATAAACAAGTAGTTATTCCCGTGTTATAGTAATATGGATGTAGTTGCTGAAGCGGGTTCTCATCCTGTTATGCAAATACGTAACTCTCGAGGGACCAATAAAACAATTGTATTACGTCGGCGGTATAAGTAAACATAATACTTAGACGTAGAGATTGAACCGATCAAGCGTTCTATTTTATCTTCCGTCACTTTAAACGTTTTTCGAGTACAATAACACGAACGAGAGAAATTAACATCTGATCCCTGGCAACGTTAAGACTCGTTAAAGAGACGTTTTAATGTAATAACGTGATCGAGGCCACAAACGCAACTCCATAACGTGACAACAAAAATATCACGTACAAAGTCACGTTGACAATCCAGACCGATTGTCGCGATCAAGATGCCAAGTAAACAGCAGAAATAAAGAAATTTTGCAGGCACAAACACTGAGGAAATTATACCACAGAAACGACCATATGATTGACTTTCCATCTCTTACTGTTTTAGGCATAAGAGAGGATACAGAGGGCGCGTTTGGGGGAGGGAGAGGGGAGTTGGTAAGGCGTCGTCAAGCTAGTCACGCGGAAAAGTTCATGAATCTCTCTTCACCACGCACGCGCAACGTGACCATGTTAAAGCGTTGCATCCCAGAAAACAACTGCTTAACTTACCGTTTGAGAGAGACCAGATCTTCATGGAGCAATCTTTTGAGCCCGTGACAACAGAGTACTGATCAGGTCGAAAACTGGAAGACACTTCTAGGGAGACAAAAATAGCAAGAAATGACAAGACAGGTTGATAGGAAAACTAGAAAAGGACCGCCAGCCATGGCGACAAAAAGACAAGCAGGGCTGACGAATAAGATAACTCTACGGATGAAATAAATAGGAAATTTAGACAGGAAGATCGAATAGAACGGGAAGTATATGAGGCAAATAGAGCAACAGAGAAAACACAGGTAAACAAAAGGATGGACAGATGACCGACAGAAAGACCGTCTGACCGACGGAGACAGATCTACAGATAGACATTGCAAAAGACGAAAAAGGGGATCATTTTCTAAAGAAAAAAAACCGAAACTATAGTGCTGCGTCGGTGGGAATATTACAAGATAAATTGGTTTTTAACAACTGATTGGATAATATACAGTTTCCAAGGCTGACATTTCGAGGGTAAACCCTTCGCCAGAGCGAATGGCGACGCTCGAAACTTTCGCATCAGAGAGGCTGCAACACAAAAAGAGGGTTGAACATAGTTGTAAGGGGGATCCTTTCAAGAGTGAGGTCTTATAGAGAAAAATATATAGATAGACATAGACAGAAACACAGACAAAGAAATATCAAAACCACTCTCTCACCGCATGAGGATATATCCCTTTTCGGCAGAAGGAAAACTGATGTTATAGAGCCAGTATGACCTCCCAAGCTCTTCACCTCTTTCCCTGTGTCAGCATTCCACAACTTTAGCATGGTGTCGCGACTGGGAAAAAACCGGCAACGTTGTCAAAGTGAAGTAGAATACGAACAAAACGTTTAGGATCAATGTCAGTATCTGTGCAACTGCGCACCTACCCCTCCCATGACCCAACAACGGTCAACTGATGACAAGTTAGGGTTAATGTTGGGTTCGGGGAGGGGAAGGGAGGGGAGAGGAGGGGAGGGGAGGGGTAAGAGCGCAAATCTCAGATACTAACATTGATCCATCAAAAATTTCTTACGTTTTATAAATCGAGTTGACTTCAAGACAAAATTGAACCTCCTCACGGTTTTTGCCTTTGTTTTAAATATATTTCTCTGAATACTTAAAACTACCAACAAGAAGTGAACCTGAAAATAGCACTTCGGATAGCAACTAAGGAACCTAGGAGTGACCAGCATCTATCTTCTCCTTACAACATCACCTCTGGATCACACATTAAGGTCACGAGAATAAAAGAAATGATCATCAAGTAAAGAAGCTCTTGATTGTTAAACAAATTCTCCTTGTAAGCACCTTAAGAAATGTTAAGAGAACAGTATGGAGAATATGCATGCTGGTTTTAGGGTGTGAGGTTTATGTTCACAATTTAGCTTCACGATATTAGGTGTGATAAGAAATAAGACGTGATTGGGAAATCCAAAAATTAACAGTTTCCTGTACTATCAAAAACAAACAAATAAAAAATAAATAAATAAACACAATTCAAATATGAATGATACGGAAAAAAAATTTTCGTAAGAAAAGAGTATCGTCTTATGCGAATGGACAACTGTCTCAAAAATAAGTATGTTATATGGAATTATTTTACATGTTTTGTGTATAATGACGGATAAAGATTCATGTGCTATTTGGGAGACAAACAGATGCATACATGTATAACAGATTGCCTTCAAATATTTTGAGAAACCCCTGTCAATAAATCAGAAAGACACTAGGGTTGAGCTACAGTTACTCGTGAGTAATTTCGCCACCTAAATGGAATTGCAGTTCAAAAATATTTCATAAGTTAACGACCATTGAACTTAGACTGCTTTTCTTCTACGAGAAAAAAACAGCCTATGCTATATTTCCACGATTTACTGATCTGGAAGAAAGAATATTGAATACAGGACATTCAGATCAGATATCTACTGGATAATACGAGCGCAAATTCATTTTTGTCCAAATCTAACGATGCCGGTGACTGAGGTCGATAAGGAATAACAGTACGGCACGATAAGTTGATAACAGGTAACAGAGCCATTCGATTAGTAAAAATACCTGTTCTTATCCTTCCTGAAATTAAACAACATGGCACCAAGTCACTGTGTTGGAACGTTGATAAAATATTTCACGCCCTTTCACCGTTAAATCTTAGCATGACGCTACTCTGCTGCTTTCGCTGAGTTTGGCCATGGTGTGTGCTATACCTTGCTTATCAACCGGTAAATAACAGCCTCAAGGCCAAAATCTCTTGCAAATTAGATGAAACTAACTTATCATTAAATATTAAGAAATTCAAAGCCGCACATCGCAGCAGTGAACTGGTCTTGCGGCAGGTATGTGAATAAGCTATCACGATAGATTTCACTGGGAGTTCACGAGATTACAAAATTCACAACGTGAAGAAATTTGCAACAAAGTACAAACCTCAAACACTATCCTTTTCACACGAACTCTAACAACTTGACGAATGGAAATTTTAGATATTAATGTTTTTATTCTGGCCGACGGAATTAACTTGAAAAATAAAAGAAGGCCGACGGCAGGTTCATCGTTCAGATAGAATATTAAGCAGAGGGCTATAGAGACCATGTTAGTATTCCAGGTCATTTCAAACTGACACGATTAAAGAAACAAATAACCTTTTCGCAATACAGCCTGTGTTTCACGTTACTTGGTCAAAATAGCTGCCGCCAACTCAATCTAGCCGCTCTGGTCATGTGACAAACCAGCACCAATCACATCGCAAGTGCTACGATTTACTTGCTGCACTAGGCGTCATAAAAAAACGGATTTTGCCTCGGATTTCTTGCCCTGCTATCCAGCTAAGGCACTATCTGGATTCGAAATCTGATTAGCCTCTTTGTTTATCGAATAATAATAATTTTATGAGGGATGGGTTGTCTACAGGAGATTATAAACTGATAATCTCTTGTTTGTCTAACTTTTTTCCGTTTTATCGAAGTCAACTGAACATAACAAATTTTACCGTCCAAACTAAATACCGCAAAAGAAAATTCATCCAAAAGAAATTTATGCAAGTTTTTCCAGTGGCCTTATACCGTTTTTCTTTGAGGGAGATGCTCATATTACGTACACAGGAATTCTTATCGTCACACAGAAGTCTTCAAATCACGGATTTGATCTCATATCCTACGAATTACCTCCAAGAGTTGTTAGAACGCTTTTGAATTGAGTGTCCTAAAACAAAAACCAACAGCCAATAAAATGAAAGGAAATACTTTAAGGAGCCAATAGGAACCCAAAGTAAAACAACAAAACCAAAGCACGGGAAAACGAGGGCGACCAAGTCGTGATTGCTTTTAGTTTTGCATCTGATTGGATGAGAGAGTGGCTCCAGTTTTCTCGGCCAATTACAGTGCGAAGGAAAGGAACAACAATGAAACCTCGGATTACTTTCAATCAAAGTATCAGAAACTATTGTTTGGAGCTGCTAATGAAGAAATTGAAAAAATTGTATCATTCTGTTAGAGTGGAAATGGATAATAGAGGGAAAGTAATATCACTAGTCATTTTTGTGGGGAAGCAGCCTCTCCCTCTTCTGCCTACAGGTCCCTTAACCCTTTTTATTCCCAGAGCTGATTAACATGAAACTTCTCCCTATAATATCCATACGTTTTCTAGCAAACAGTTAATAAGAATACACAAACTTATCAGGGAGAGGTCATCTTGATCTCAGACCATATTCTCATAACTAATTTACTAAGCAATGTGTAGCAGCAAGAGGGGAAAATTAACGATCAGATTTGGGGGGTTAAAAGGTTAATAACTACATGGGATGGGGGGGGGGGGTACCGATATCAATACACCATTAAAGTACCAGCCCCAAGGAATGAATTTTGAAGTAAGGGAGTACAGAGACTGCATTGATTGTGGAGTATTTTAAATCCTTGGAGTGACCAGCATCTCAATTATCCTTACAGTAACACTGCTGAATCATTCATCATTATGATGAGATAAAAGGACATAATTGCCCAGAACCTAAGAAGCTTGCATTGATAAATGAGTTGTCCTCATCAGCACTAAAGGGAATGTGTAGAGAAGAGTATGGAGAATATAGATACTGATCTTAGGGTGTAAAAAATTAATGACCACAGGGAAACTCCTCTTGGAGTCCAGGGTCATTTTTGTGTCAAAATTTTGAAAATTGACCATCCATGTTGGCCTTAGGGAACCCTTTCTGAGCAATAGTTTGTTCCTATTGGGAAGATAATTTGATGCAATTTTTCCTCCAAGGAGTGAAGTGAAGGGGTACTATCCTTATTCCAGCAACTGGTACTTTGGAGTATCATGACACAATCATGGTAGTTCAGAAAAGATGATTTGGGGTGTGTGTGTCAACCCTTTAAATTCCAAGTTCAAGATAGAAATTCTTCCAACTTATTTCCTTAGTTTTCTTCAAAAATTTAACAGGAGAATTTGGTTATCTCAAAAAAACACCCTGTAGCTGGTGAGCTTGTCTGTTCTCATAACCTGCTAAGGAGATAACCTATTGTAATTGCAGGAAGAAGTCACATGTTCATCACTTCTGGGGGTTAAAGAGTTAAAAAGGGAAATTGTACCAGAAAGCATGCATGACAGTGGAAAGCCATGCAATACTTATCATCAATTGCAAGCTGCACATAATGAAACATACCTTCCAGACACAAGAACTGAACCCTCACAGTGAACACAACATATCGCATCATTGTGACCTTCTAAAGATCTCACATAAAACTTCATATCACTGTTTAAGGATGGTGACTGCAATATGCAAGTTTTTGTATTTGCCAGAGGAGTATCAGGCACCTTGCCCTGAACAGCACCTTGATTAGTACTTGTACTCTTGCTTTGATTAGGTTTATTTTCATCCTGCGCACTTTGACTGATAACTTTTTGTTCTGCTCCTTCAACATCAGATGCGAAAAAAGTGGTGGTAGTTACTTCCTCTTCTATTTCTTGCTGAATCAACAGAGCTGGTTCATCTTCTTTTGTTTGATTTTCCATTCTTTGTATTTCCAAATTCAGTTTGTCTTCCCTTGCTACCAATTGCTGCACTTTAGAGCGTATTTCATCTTTTGTACAAAGCTAAGAATGTCAAAAAAAAAAAAAAAAGATTATCTATTGAATTTAAAAACTTACAAAGCTGCAAATTGATGGACAAAAGATAACATCAGCATGATAGATCATTCAAAGCAAGTGGGACACACTGCAAGAACCTTAATCCAAGCTTCCATAGTGTGATGTAAAAATAAGTGTTATTTATTTAGTACCTTGTCAGGCATTGTGACACACTTTGCAAGCTTAAGTAGAGATCTTGGTGGGCTGAATTAAAAAATGCATGCTTGTGTGATTGTTCCGACTGTTTTGTTGTCATTTTGTTCAGTTTTTATTTCTCAATGTTTTCTAAAGTGATAATAATAGTAACATAGTTTCTTTTCTTGGACATAACTATCTCTTCGGCCTTTCTATGAGTCATTTTAAGTCCTCTCCTAGTGTCTTGGGCTAATTGACTCTCAGTCAGGCCCAAAACATATTTATGCCCACAAACAAAGACTCTATTGTTTTATTCTAGCTTGTCAGGGGTTGGGGTGATTGGTTCATTGCAGATCACTTATCAGGTCTCTTTGAAAGTACACCAGTACCCATGCATATTTCTAGGTGAAAAGATGCATTTTGAATCAAAGTCACACTCATGCTTTTTGCTGGAAATCACCAATAAAATAGCTCCTAATGTATGGCTAAAACCCATACCTTTAAATCTTAAGTCCTACACTTTAACTTTTTGGCTCCTGCAACTTCAACCGAACAGACCAGCGAGTAAATCCTTCTTTGAAGAAATATGAGAAAAATCTGTCATGATTACAAGACACTTGATATTAGCTGGCAGTGACTCGACAGAAAATTTTTTCAATGGTTTCACATCTTTGGTTCAAACCAAAGAATTTTTGTGGTCAGCCTTGCTCTATTTAGTCATGAACTGTGTGGAAACAGACTATGAATTGTATTTGGTAAATCGAGTACTGAAAAGAAATGTGGAAAATTAAAATCAGTGGTTTAAAAGGGAAAAAGCATTGTAACTTACTTGGGACCAGACTCACTATTTATGAAAAATCAACAGATGGGTAAAAATAACAGGCATCGGTGCCAAAATTAACTTTCGTGCTTATCTATCGCTTCCGGCCAGGTGATCTGTTCTCAACAACGAACTCGTCGATGGCGAAAAAAAAAACATTCGCGCTCACGGGTAAATTACAGTTAAGCTGAATCAATTCATTTTCAGTAAGTGTTAACCACGACCTCAGTAACCTTTAATTATAATCAAATTGATGAAAAGCAAGTTGACCCAAATCTCTTTTCATTCGTTTTTACTTACAAACTGTAAGCAAAGAAGTATAGTCTGCACTACTGTTTGTAATCATAGCTGCTACGAGACGAGTATTAAACGTGGCTATTGTTTATCATGGCACAGTTTCAGTACGAAATTTTAACTTTCACCATTACCTTAAGATATTCTTCTTCCGTTAATTCTCGCTCTAAGTCTTCTAATTTTTCAATTTGCCGTAGCTTTTTCCTGAATTTTCGTAACTCAGTAGCAACTTTCTGTCTATCGAAGTCGGCCATAATACACTCTGAAAATGATTGAAGACTGGGAATAATTATTTCAACATGTTCCAGGCTGGGGTAGGGTTAGGTTTTTTCTCTCTTCTGTCTACCCTCACCGTGGCCGTGATCCAGCAGCTGGAATGCCAAAACACAATAAACAGCAGGTCATTTTTTTTATCTTTATTTTCCCACAACGATTAAAATTTTAACTCATATTGATTTGCCTTTCCACAAGATAACGCTATTAATCAAATCGCGCTTTGTGTATAAAGCTTAGCACTATTCATGAAATCCGTTTTGATACACCACAAACATTTCCATAGTCCATTTTTATTAAGATTTAGGAAGTCAAAACATGTGCTAAAGCGAAATAATTTATACTAGACCATGTCATGAAACAATTAAAATGTTTGATGGACCGTGTGAAATTGTATAATAAACATTCTAAAAGATTTTTCTTTATTTACTGCCGAGTAAAGTTTCTTCAATTATTTTGAATGAACATTTATTGATTTATCATCTTCTGTTATTTGAATACTAAATCTGTGTCCTGAATCCCAGCTGCCTCAATAAACTGCCGTATTTTGTACTAGTATGTGTAAAAAAATTTAATATGGATTTCGTTCTGCTGATTGCAAATAAAAAAGCTATGATTTCATTGGCTGGCGGGTGACACATAGGAGTATATTTCTCGTCAAAGTCGACAGAAGAAAGGATGTCTCATATGCCAGAGCCATTAGCACAGCTTGCGCCTCGCTAATTGACAAACAGAAATACTCATTCGCTGAATTTTTAGTCATGTAAAGAATCCCTAAGAAAGGTATTCTGTGTCAGTTACGAGTTGGGAAGTACGCGCGGCATCTCCTATCGTTCACCCTTGATCGGTGTTGTTCATGCCTCTTCAGTCAAGAGCCTTAGTTATTATATGTCAAGTGCTGTGACAGTCTTCCTGATGAGTCACTTAAAAGAATTTTAAATTTCTCCTCTTGAAGACAACTTGTTTCGACAGCGGGAACTTGACAATCGATATACCTAATATCTTTTATTGCTGACCTCAATTTTCGCCAACTGTGGGTCAAATGCGAACGTTTCACGGATGGCGGCCAAGCTTAGTTGGATCATACTGCAACTGTTCGCCGTATGGATTCGAATTTGTCGTTCTTCTTGCGGTGACCACCTTGAAGGCTATTCCGGAGACCTTCGTTTTCCTATAAGTGGAGGAAATGTTGGCGAAAGTCTTCGCTGCACTTGGACAATTACAGTGTCAGAGAGATTTCGTGTAAAAATTACATTCACAGACTTTGTTATGGAAACAATATGTTGTTCTTGTACGCATGATTTTTTAGAAATTCGCGACGGGTCTCTTGACAATTCCACTGTTATTGGACGATTCTGTGCAAAAAGGCAACCTAAATTTATTTACTCCACGAAAAATGTTATATGGATTCAATTTACGTCTGATTTTCGTACCTACAGTAGTAATCGTTTTCGGCTGTCATACGAAGCAGTATGTGGCAGCCATTACACTGATTCTTCAGGCACTCTTCGTTCACCCAGGTATTCGTTTCCTTATGAAAACAAAGATTGCATCTACAGCATCGAGGTGCCGAAAGGGAGAATAAAGGTAAAGTTCGAGAGCTTCAGAGTTAATGGTCGAATGCCTGTTTGTTTATATGACTTTCTTGAGGTGAAGGAAATTGGATACTTCGTACTCTCAAATTCTCAAGGAGAATCGAGACGTAGTCGTTACTGCGGCATTAACAAACCGCCAATTATTTATTCTACAAAAGGTAGTATTCTGTGGTTTAGATTCAAGAGGTCAGATGACGGGAAATCACGATTCATAGCTAATTATCGCACCATTTTCGTTGGAGAGGGAACATGTGGTGGAACCTTTAAAGATACATCGGGGTTAATATACTCGCAAAATTACCCCTATCACTTTCCACACGGCCAAGAATGTGTATGGAAAATTCGGGTGGATCCTAACATGCATGCACATTTATACTTTGATACCTTGAATTTTGGATATAAAATGGATGGAGTCTGTGGGTATGGACATTTAGAAATTTATGATGGGTCAGAGGAATCCTCTTTTAAAATTGGCGAGTATTGCGGAAATGTTATTCCCAACAAAATCATTTCCAGGACAAATAAGCTCATGATCAAGGCAGTGTCAAGTTACAAGGGAAAAAACATGGGGTGGTTTTCTCTGCATTATGAGTCATCTACTGGAAGTGTTTGTGGAATGTCCAAGTTCACCTGCACTAATCGGCAATGTATTGAAAATGATAAAGAATGCAATGGTCAAAAAGACTGTGAAGATGGTTCAGATGAAGAAGTTTGTCCTGAACAAACTTCTTCCAAAGACCCTGGTTTTCTATCTTGGTACAGATTCTGGCCTGTCAGCATTGTGGGAGGAATGCTTATTGTTGGAGTATGGCTTTGGAGAGCATGGAAAAAAATTATGGCAGCTCGATCTGAAGTGGACAGACCTCATGCGACTACTCCATCACCAAATCATTTAGAGATGCTCCCTTGTACTTCTGTGGAACCTCCAAGTTACAATGAGGCTGTTGCTGAAAATGTAGAGCCTCCGCCCTCTTATGAAGAAGCTCTCAGAGAACGATTAAACCCTCAGAATAGCATACAAGAGGCTGACTCTCTCAGGGTTCACTCTGACTTAAATACTGGCAACATAGCATTGCCCAGAAATGTAGGTCAAACGTTGTCCATGGTAGTTTATGAGGGTTCATCAACAAGCTCTCGTGGTTCTCCATATGACAGTCATAGAAAGAGAGGTTATACTTCTCTACACTTAAATGCTCAAAGTATTTAGTGCTCTGTCAGGTTATAATAATAATTATTAGTTCATAAAAATCATATTGTAGTATTTTTCAATTGTGACAGATAGTTCAGGAAAGATCAGTCAATTATTGGATTTAATCTGGGATTACTTTGGTTCTGCTTGACTGCCTACTGCAATTGATTTAGAAAAATATAGCTACTCTATAGTCAATCAGAAGTAAAATCATCAGTAATCAGAAGTAAAAGTAACACCAATTTATACTTGGCCACACCCATTTCCATGATCATGTTTATTTTTCCAAGTTTTTGTTGGCTCCTTTTGATATTTTCCTTTCTTATTGGCAGCTGTCAATTATCTTGGATTTGGTTTTCCTTCACTCATACAAAATGAGCTTTAACTGAATATGTTCCAGTTTGCAGAATATATCCAAGGGTTTTTAGTCAGTTTTTTAAAAATTTTTGACCTTTTCACTCCCAAGATCTCATTAGTAATTCTCCTTACTGTCTTGCATATAATTCTTATGATGATGGCTGGGAGAATTTGGATCAACTTATAATTCTCTAACTGATATAACTTTCTCCCCAATTTATGAATGAAAACACTTGCTTGACAGTCATCTTTCTGTGCTGTTAGAGTTATTGTAAACAGAGTTTCAACATCAAAGAAAGGGTTTGAAAAGAGGACATGTTTTAGCCAAGTTATCTGACATGAACTTCTGCATTAATGATAGCTTAGCTAATTTGAATAAAATGTATTGCAAAAACATAGGAAAATTACTAGTTGCCAAATCTACTTATATTTCATAATTTACATAAAAATAGTGTATTTACTGTTAGCCATACAGCTATTGACTAGTGTCTATAACAGAGTGCAAAGCAACACTTGCATTCATTGCCAGAAAAATTATAGTTATTTACAATGAAAATTTAAAAAATTGTAAATGTGTGATTATTACTCATTTTGGTTACATAGATGAATCCATGGTCAACAGTTTACTGTCTCACTAAACAGGCACTTCCCCCTTTACACCCTAACATCAGTTTGCATATTCTCCAAACTGTTCTCTATACATTTCCTTTAAGGACAAGGAGAATTTGTTTACCTAATGAACTGAGAACCTCTTTAGTCAGTGATTATTTCCTTCATTTTTAGGAACTAACATCAGTATGCATATTCTCTATGCTGATTTCTCACTTTCCTACAATAATGACAAGGAGAACTTATTTCACAATCAAGAGCCTCTTCAGTTGGTGACTATTTCCTTTTCTCTCAAGACCTTAAATGTTTTCATTCAGGGGTGAAATTTAATACTGGTTGCTCTGAGGGCTTAATTCTTGATAGGACTGTGTTGAGGTCAGTGAACTTGACTTCAATAGGTATTAAGGCCAGATATGATGTATCCCCTTAGTGTAGATAGTATGTGTGCCCTTATTGGTCGAAATGGTGTGTTTACACAAGAGTATGTAGACATGGTCGTGGGGTCACACTTAATATGTTTGGAATTATTTTTGAGAAATATTTCATAAAAGCAGTCAAGGATTTTTTCCAGGCTTACAAATCCTCTTAAAAACAAGTGAAAGGGCAGGACAACTTGAGAGAGTTTTGGAACCCAAGACTCAGTCCAGATTTATCACTCCTACCTAGACCCTGCCAATTTTCAATTATTATCTAGTTGGTTCTTCTCCTTACTTGTTAAGGCCAGGCCCCTTTTCAAACTCTGCACATGTGAGTAGCTATATAGCTTAATGCACCCTAAGTACTAGATGTGACACCTAAGGGAGATGAATGATATTAGGTGATTTTGATCTCTAACTATTGATGTGTAATAGTTTTCCTTAGCCTGTGAGCAGACCCTTGTTTTTAGTGCTACAGGGCATGTATTTCTCCACCCATGGGTACATTTGAGACAAGTTGGGGAGAGGTTTGTCTAGGGTCTGGCACTATCAGTACCAGGCCCCTCACAGACCTCTCATTGGCTCAAATTGCTCATTCCATGGGCAAAGACATTCCCATCTGAAATGCTTACTTCCCCAATATTTTTTAACTGTGTATTTGCCACTTTAGCAGATAAGCTTTAACACCCTCATTTTAGAGGTATGGGTTCAAAGTTCATCTTTTTAAATTGATAATGTTCTTAAAGGGATCTTTTCTCACATCATTTAATTTATCCAGTAAGGTGAACAGAAATTCAGGATGAATTCCCTCAATCAGGTTATATCGTGGAATAAAGTAACTTGGCAAAGACTTTGTGGCCAGGCAATAAAACAAGTCATCCAAAAGTCCAAGAAGGTTGGCTGCCAAATTACTGTCTGTCCATAATTTTGGAGGGTACTTGTGGCACGCTTGAAGAAACACCATTTTCAAGTGATATGAATGAAGAATATGAGGGCATTTTAGATGCCAGAATCTTATTTGTTTAAAGACTCTGTAACATGTTATAGCAGCAGGGCATTGTGATGCTAATTCCTGTAACAGAAAAAGTTCTACAACGCTGAAAGACAGTCTCCATTCTACCTTTGATTGTCCATTTGGTGAACACTTTCCAACAAGATAAAGATGCTGTTGTTGTGCTTTAACAAAAGCCTCCTCACTGAGCCAGTTTGGCTTTCCATGTACTGTAATCCACGATGGATACTCAACTGGAAGACAGTCATTTAGCAACTCGAATGCAACAACCAAATCACAATTGATTGTAACGCTTTGGAAGTCTAAAGACATGGATAAAGTTACTGCTGGTGGATTGAATTCCAATTGGAATCTCTCATTTAGTAAAGGAATTTGAGCGAAAATATGTTCAATTTGCTTGTACAAGTCGCCTACAATCAACAATGGATTAAGGTACAATTCGCCCCTTCTCTTCGGATCGCTTGGGCCAATAGCAAAGGGGGCCCAGTTTCTTCTGTAATCTTCATCATTCAGATACACGACAAAGTATCCCTCGCTTGTGTCTTCTTGCTTCATAAGTATGGCAGGACTGTCCCTTGATCTTCCGACTTTAACGTCTCGGAACATACAGAGTATATCCATTTCGAATTCAAGATGAGGCTTTCCATCCCCATGCCTATCGAAATTAGGAATATTTACCCCTTCCGCTGTGCTTCCAGTCCAGACGAATTCGACTTCCCTGTAGAGGGGATGTTTCCGTAACGGCTTATACAAACAATTCTTAATCGCACCAAACACGGATGGAAATAATTGTTTTGATAAATCGTCCATAACTTGAAAACCGCCTCCATCTAAATGCTTTTGAAGAGCTTCATTGAGGCTAGCGATTGAATTTCCTGATAGACGATCAATTCCAGCTTCCGCCATGCCGATGCTTTCTTTCAGTGACTACTTTATATATGAAGACACATTTTATCTCTTTCTATTAATGACATAGAAGGTCGTGTTCGAAGGTTGAATAATGCTTAACCGCTGAATAAGCTTGAATAAATCTCTAACCGGTGGATGGTGTAGTATGGCCCTGGCCTTAACTCACAAGGCCCTCAACCCCTTACATCCAAAAGTCAGTTTTCACTTTCTCTTTACTTTCTCCGCACACTTCGTAATGTGCTGATAAGAGAATTTGTTAAACAATCTAGAGCTTCTTAAGTTTGTGATCGCTTCTTTTATTCTCATGACCTAAATATGTGATTCAGGGGTGATTTGGTTGAGAGAAGATATGAGTCACTCTTGGGAGACAGAGGGTTAAGAACTTATACTAGCTATCTTGGAAAATATAGCTACCAATGTTAGAACTATTAACAACTATAGGACATCTTTGGAAAGTTTACAACAGAGACATCAAATGAGGAAATAAAGTACTTGTTCCAATATTGACAATTCTAGGCAACAATCCAAGAGAAAATTAGAATAAGCCTTTCACTGTAATTCATGTTCCTTTCAGGAAAATATAATTGAAAAGCTCTCTAAAATACCAGGTATCCAACAGAGGTGTTATGCAAGGAAATGAACAAGGTATCACAACCACTTTCCCTCCCCGCCCCAGAAAAAAACACCAATGACTTGTACACTGGTACTATGATATTTATTAACTTGTTTCATCAACAATACACTAGTTTTCGGGGTTCATACACACTTTGACTGCAAACATCAAGACTACTTGCATTCTATATTTCCTTTTTCCATACTCAAATGTTACTCACTGAATGATTGCTATGATGGCATTCGTTTGCAAAAAGATGTTTACTAACAGCAGTGCATTTTGAAGTTAGAGTGTCTAGAAATCTTACAAGACTGAATACAAACATCAAGGATAATTCCACTCTATCATTTTCTTTTTCCATACAAAAATGCAATACACAGCAGGATTACCACAACAATCACAACTTGACACATGCAACTGCACATTTTACAGTTAGTGTGTCTAGATGTCTGGTGAGATTCAACTACATGGCAGAAATTTTTTTTCTCCAGTTTTCAAAATAAAATAGGTATAAATCAATTCTTAATCTGCCAGAAGTGATTAACATGTTGGTTTAATATATTTAAGATCAAGCTATATCCAGGAAACAGGTGATGACATTACTCAAACCTATCACGTAAAAGTTGTAGTGATAATTGTGATCTAACACCAAATCCTCATACCTGACTAATGAGGAAATGTCTGGCAGCTTGAAGGGAGAATTTACAATCAGATCTTGGGAGTATAAGGGTTAAGAGGTCTAAAGAAGGCAGCAATAATCAGTGCAATCTTCCTTACCTCCAGCAGCTGTAATTTATTGTCACTTTTAATTAGTGGTTTCTGGGCTTCTGCCATTTGATGCAGTTCAGTTATGTCATTGTTCTGTGTTCTTCACTGTTATCATTTCAACTTTTGAACTATTTTCCTATCAGAACTGATCAGATTAGCTGTCATATTAAAACTTTTTTTTCCTTAAAAGGCACATTCCTAAAAAAATGGGTCATTTTTTTCCTTTCTCTTCATCATCAGAGTACTAATACATGTTCTACTTTCATACCTACTAAGAAGGGAAAAAGAAAACTTCTTTAGTCAACATGATTACAGGTGCTGGGATTCGTTTCTTTCTGTTTTTTTTTTTTAGACAATTCTAAAAAAATAGAACATTATTTTCCTTTCTTTACATCAGAGTACTACAATGTGTTCTGCTTTCGCACCTACTATGAAGGGAAAAAGAAAACTTTTTTAGTCAACATGATTACAGGTGCTGGCATCTGTTTCTTTCTATTAAATGACTCAAACTCCCTGGCAACTTTATTATTTACTCTGATCAACATACTGACAACATCTTCAGTATGGGCATAATCACTAAAAACATCAGCTATAGCTTGGACAAACCAGGAACCTTTAGCCAAATTGTTCCAGGAAACATATCCTGGAACAGTGGAGTAAGCAACTAACATGTCAGCTTCAGCAGGGAGTGATTCTGGTTCTGGCTCTGGTACAACTGTATCAGGTTTGACTCCAGGTAAGTGTGCCTGAACAACAGTAGCTCTTGCCTCTGCAACTGGAACTTCATTGGCAGACATATACCCACCATCAGTTACCTCTACTCCTTGATCAAAATCACTTCCACGACAAGCTTGGATAAAAAACATCTTTGGTTTCCCAATGAGATCTTTTGCTGCATAACCATTGAACAATGCCAGAAGATCTGGAATGGACACAAGCACTCCATCAACACCAAAAATTTGCCCTTCCAACCCATGACTAAGGAGACAGACAACAACAGAATCTGCCATTCCATGGTCATTCAATCTTGCAAACTGGGTCAGAGTTTCTTTGAGCTGTTTTGAAGTCTGATTCCTGACCATTTTGACCTTGTACTGAAGCTTAGTAAACAATTCATCAAGTTTTTTTGCATCCACATCAGAACCACCTCTTCTACTAAGATACTCAAAATCTACATTGTTAACAATCAAACATAAGCCATGAGGTTCACACTTCATGGAGTAAACCAAGTCATCATCATCAGAACCACGCAGAGCATTCTTCTTGACTTGTGATGAAGTAGAGGTATTGGATTTCAAAGCCACTTGCTCTGAATAAATTTGTCTGGTGCCGTCACTCCGCTCCAGTGAGATGCTGCCTCTGTTTCCATCCTGGATTGAGCTTGACACTGCTCCTTTAAGTTAATAAAAAAAAAAAAAGAAAGTAAAAATTTCTCTTTAACCCTATAACCCCTAGGAGTGACTAGAATCTAATTTTCCCTAACATTATTACCTCTAAATAAAAAAATTAACCCTCTATACCAGTGTTCTCCTTTTCAGGCAGTAACTGGTAATATTTACTGCCTGTAGTACCTCCTATTAGCATTAAAATTGCTTGGAATTCTTGAAAATTTAACAATTAAAAGGATTGCTTTACTGGTTTGAAAATTTATTTTAACCTGTCATGCTTAAAATAAGGGAGAACACTGCTATACCCCAACATCAGTATGTTAAGTCTTCCTAATTTTCTCTTTACAGTTCCTATGGTAGATAATTTGACCAACAGTCGAGAGCTTTTTGAGTGTTTCTTCTCCCTATGATATATATCCATACATTATCCCATAAACAGGTAATAAGAATATGCAGACTTATCAGGTAGAAGTCATCTTGGGTTAAAACCAAATTCTCACAAGTAATTTACAAGGTTATGTGTAGCAGCTGAAGGGGTGAATTAACAATTAGATCTTGCAAGTTAAAGGGTTATAATGAAACTCTTATCAACCATTACTTTGAAAACCTTTCTGGTAAAAAGAAAAAGAACCTAATCAGTGGTCTGAGGTCCATAAATATCATACAAGGAAAACACAATCGTAACTTGTACAATGGTGCTCAAAACGTTTAAAACGTATCACGGAAACTTACAAATTAGAGTTGTGTTAAATATTTTGGGCCAAGGGAAGTTCCTTACCATCTTTTTACAATAATTTTATATCTTGCGGATGAAAATCAGAGCCAGAGAGTTACATACTTATTACAACGATTAGTAAGAATCAATAAGCTTAGCCTTATTAAGAGAGCTTCTAACTCTAATCAAAAGAGAGACTGAAAGTTACTACATACTTTAAGTCATAATATAACAAGTCACAACGAACGTTCATAATTTACCAGAGGTAGGTGATCCATTCGTCTTCAACATATCCAATAGGTGGCCTTGGCCGTCAGTTTGCTCAAGAGCTCGGCAAAACACATCAAAAACTTTCGGTCCACGACGAGGAAGAATGTCCAGAAGCTTTTCCGCTTGAGCTTGTCTCGTGGGTTTTGCCTTTATGGTTTGCATATCGTTTTCCGATATACCTCCCTCCTGATATAAAAAATTGGATAGCTGGGTAGCTTCTAAATCTTCTACTAGTAACAATCTGTTCTTTCTCAACAAGTCTCTGTGCTTTTTATCCATTTTTCTACAATTGTTTTCGTTCTTCCCGGATTACCTTGAAACTTGCCCAAACGTAAGACGATGTGTCTTCTTAAGAGGCTTTCCATTGGTTTATTTGCGGATAGAGCTCACCAGCCAATCAGAAAACGTGTCAAATCGATGTCAAAGAGAAGCGCAAGTGTGTTTCTTGCGGTCAGTGGTGAACACCATACGCGGCTTGATGTTGAGTGTAAAACCACAGTTCTGTCGAGTAGCAGCTCGCGTAGGGTCTTCTTTGGTTAGTACACGGTTTGCAAAGTTACGCGGACTTCAGCACCAGATTTCTTGCGATCCCGTCTGATAACTGATGATTCTGTTTGATTGCGAACAGTTGCGCCTGATTTCATTCATTTTACAACTGATCTAGAAGGCGAAAGCTCTACTGAATGAAGATGTTATTAACAAGCTATTATCGAATAAATTCGCTTTTAATTTCCATTTCCTCCGTAGAACTTATTTGATCTTATTTCTTGCAAACCTGACCTTGTTTCACTAATAAAGGCAAAGAGGGGGCACTTGCTATGTCCCAAGCGATATCAGGAACCCATTACTCAAGTAATGGGCTCCTGGCGATATGATAAAATATCTTTACCCAAAAAAAAAAAAAAAACGTTAAATACTATCGTCCTTATCCCATACGTAATAACAGGACTATTTGAGCTCAGAGCTAATCTACCTCTTTAATAAAATACTTTTTGACTGTCTGCGAAGTGTGGATAGTTATGGCGTAATCTTGAAAAAAAATATGTAAAATGGACATTAGGGGTTATATTAAAAATCATTGCGTGAGTGCGCGCAGATCTTATATCCAACAAGTGCGAGTATAAAATAAATATTATAAATATAATAAATATGGATAAATCTTTCCAACTTTATTCTGTAACAAACGGAATGTTACAATGTACAAAAATACTTCTGGTTTAACTCGTCTTCATGCGCGCCCATGGTATAATGGTTTATAACCCATGATGGCTAGGCCGATGAAAACTCGTGAATTGAATCCAGTGATCCAGTTTTTAATAATGATTTTTAACTCTCATTGTTAGTGCTGTGGGACGCGCGTTACACGTCCCACGGGAAGATTGGAGACGAGTCGTTGTCACAGTGTTTTGGGTTTCCCCAAGTTTTGGGCATTCCCGTACCCAAAACACTAGTGTTATTAATTCAAAACGGTTTTTTCGTATCCAAGAGATTCACTGCTGTCAAGATACTTTTCCTCACTCGCGGTAAATTTCTGATAACATTGCCAAGGTCATTGAAGCAATAGGAATTTTCCCACACATTCACACTGATGGTGAACAAGTCTGAACAAGTCCGACAGTAACGATTACTCACAGCCTCAGAGCTAAGCGGAAAATACAACCTTTCCGGTCATTTTCTTAAACGTAAAATCCCAACAAGTGGAGAAATCCTCCTTCTGCGCGTGTCTCAAATCGATCGGATGAACTGCGTGCATGCGAAGCAACTCACTTGAAACTGCTGACTAATCTCTCTTTCCAGGATGCTTAGCAACAAATGAACATTTTTTTTACCAACCACAATCTCAAGTGCGAGAATTGACTTTGGATGACAATTTCCTGACGTCTGCGAGCAATTATTTTTTGTCTTTCTTTTTTTTATTCACGATAAATAAAAGATTGATGGCATGTTACTTCTCCCAGTCTCCTGTTCAATTCACTTCCAGGGTTCTGGGTGTCCTCGGTGGGGATACTGAAAACATTAGTGTTTTAGGTACGGGAATACCTAAAACACGAGGATATCCAAAACACTGAGATATCAGGGATAGGTTTATCAGGGGTTTGGCTCTAATCAGTACTTTAATTACCAGACCTCTCGATCGCTGACTTGTGTCGCTCAAGTCTTCATACTTTCTGCTGGGCAAAGAAACACTCGCGCAGATGCATTGATAATAAGGTTCTGCTCATAGGCTACTGATTTTTGGCCTGTACTATTACATGAATAATTTTATCACCATAACAAAGTACACTCCGTTTTTGTCGCCAAAGTTAAGGAAACGAGGCTTGAGGGGGCCAGTTTAAAATTTCGACAGCTGAAAGCTGTTGATAAATTTGTACCTCAGTTTATTCATTCTTGCCTTGATTCTTTCTATTGCTTTGTTTTTTTTATCTGTTCGCGCGTAATTACAGCGCGAGGTTGATACTTTCTATTAACCAGATTGCCTCTGTGACGTTTAATTACCATTTATTAAGAACATGGATTGAACACGAATTGACTAAGGCCACTGTGCAGTAGTGGCCGGCAAAGATAATCCATCCTGGTATGGATTTTTTGCCAGAAATAGTCATTTTAAAAGTTTTTTCTTTTCTTCCTGTTGGGGATCTGGGGAAAGCTGCTAGAGTCTGCAGTTATTGGCGCCGGCTAGCGTACGATCATTCTCTTTGGAAGGCTGTTAACTTGAAACGACAAGCTGCAAAACTCGACGAAGATACCTTGCACATGCTTATAAGGACAAGATTTTCTCATTCTCTCTCTATTCTTCACTTGGGTGGCTGTAAAATTTCGCTTGAGCTTCTCAGCGAGCTGAACAGGAAATGTAAAAGTTTGAAATATTTAATATTCAGTCGAGGATCAAAATTACGACCGCCAAGTCCACCTCCGAAATACACCGAAGTCACCTACGAATTTCCTTCTCAACTGGAATTGGTGGAGTTGAGGCCGATTAAAGGAGACTTTGCCTTCTTAGGGCGAATAATAAGGCACTTTTGTGAGGTGAAATACCTAGGCATTGGAAACAATTCCTCGAAGGGCGCGGTCCCGTCTTTGTTCACCAAAATGCAAAGATTGGTTATACTTGACTGTACGAACTGCGACACAATTACAGACGAAGTTATCGGTAAAGTGGCCGAGTGCTGCCCTTTACTGGAATCATTTTGTTTAAACGGATGCAAATATGTCTATGGGCGAACATTTTGCACGCTTTTCCGATCGTGTTCTCGATTGACTACGCTGCTTCTTCGTTACACGCCGGTGCGTGACGATTGTTTCGTGATCAGCGACTGGAAGTTCGTCCCTGTGGAGGAATTAGATATTTCAGCGTGCTCTAACATAACACAGATAGGCCTCATTAGCCTGGTTACAAACGTGAAGACTTTGAGGTATCTCAACTTATCGTACTGTGGCGTCGGCCGAGCGGTAACAGACGCAGTTTTGTTACAGATTGCGCGACAAGAAACAGGAACAAACTTAGAAATGTTAGATGTAAGATGGAGTCTTACATTGACGCCTGAGGCTTTATACATTTTATCCCGAGCCTGCCCTAAACTGAAATGCTTAGGGGTGTATCAATCTTCAAGCATCAATCCATCGGCCATGGCAGAAGTTTTAAGGATGCTTCCTAGACTAGAGGTTCTGGAATACGGCGCTTTCGGCAAAGCTAGTATTTCCGAGAGCATGTTCTTTCCAAACCTTATAAGATATTGTGAATTCCTCGAGGCTGTGTCGCTTATAAACTTTGCCTCGATGGATTCCGTCGCGGACGCTGTGCTAATGAACGCACTGGTCGACAACTGTCGTTGTTTGAAACGTATAAACCTTTGTGAGCCGGATCCTACTTTACTGGATCTGGTACAAGAATTACCCCCCTCTTCTAAAGCCAAGGTGACTCAAAGATGGCAATGCGTTCTGCCTCCGCCCAACCACACCCTAGATGCGATTATTGCCAAATTGAAATACAGCCCACCTCATCCGCCCTCCATTTAGCGGTTTAGATAAAAACGGTCTTACAACGTGAACTTATTCATCTGCAAAAAAATATATTGGTTTTGCTGTGCTGGTTTTGTGATAGTGACAAATGCAGCTGTTACTGAAATTTCTTTAAAACTGGAAGGATATTGTTAAAATGATCTTCGATTTTCATTTCTTCTTGTTCAAATTTTCATCATTTATCATATCGATGCTGGTTAAAATAACACATGTATCATCCGGCCTGTAGTTCGTTTCAGGCCGGGTTAGAACATTTATGACCGTTAGGAGAAGGTTTGAGTTTTATTTCTGGAGTCAATGCTAAAAGACAATAATTCATGAATATATGAATATTTAGGAATCATTTTGTGTATATCGATGTAATAAAATGGCACGTATTTTGTTAAATTTCGATTTTCCTGGTTGATTTTAGATTTGCCGGAATTTGTAAAAGTGTGAATACTGAAATTACGCGCTGTCAGACGGCAGGGGAGGGTGGAGGGTATGGTACAGAGTGAGTTGAGCTTTTCGATCGAATCCAGTCTTTCCTCCTCCATTTGATCTAGATAAGGATGGAGTTTCGGGAGTACTCGCATCTCTACTAATTGAATAACTTAATGCTAGGAAAGTATAGGTGTGATTTCTCAGTGGTTGGTGCTTGAATCATGGAGAAAAAGATATCATCAATTGAGTGTCGAAAGAAATCCGGAATTGCTTGGGTTTTGCTTTACTCCATTTGTGATTGGCCCAGAAATCTCGCTCCTATCTCTCCACCAATCAGATTGAAAAGGAAAATCAATCATGACTCGATCACGCGCTATTTCCCACACTTCAGATGGCTTTCTTTTTTTTACTATGAGTTCTCATTGGCTCTTCGTAATATTTTCCCTTCTTCTGGTGGGCCGTTGGGATTCCCTTGGGTTTGGTTTTACGTTACGCTATCGAAATGTACTCTAGCATGAATAACTGATTGTTACTGAAGGATGAATCATTGAGTAATAAGCTTTGTGGTTGACAACGATTGTCCCTAGAGTTCGAGAAATTACTAATGCACTTATTTCAATACGGAATGTAAATGGGTAAAATCAGTATTATTTCTTGTTAATTAACGATACACACTGTCTACAAACTGTGCAGAAATGTTGTAAGCTAAGATAAATCTTTTTAGATATATAGCGGTCTCTGAAAGGGGATACTTTTTTTGACAAAGAAACGAAAATACAAATATTATCAGAAAATATTGCATTTAATTCTTAAAAAATTAGTTATGTGAAAAACAACACAAACTGTTAAGGTAATGATATCTAACCATTCGTCCATAAATTATAAATGAGTTGTGACAAAATCTGTGTAATTATTTTAAAACCAAGGCACGGACTCATAATTAGTTGAAAATCGACCAAAAACGGAATTTTCGTAAAATGTTCTGTTACTTTTTATTCGCTATATGATGTTCAGTGTCGACCACGTCGTTTTCCTAGACGGCGATTCGAAGCGATCAATTGAGAGGAATCTTCTTGGAAATTTTTACACCAGAAGATTCTAATATCGCTGCTTGTATAAAGAGTCTCATTAGAAGCTGTTGTAAATTCTCGTGCTGTATGTGCTGCCAAAACTGTTTCTTTTGTTGGAGGGGATTGTTCTTTCGAGATGAATTTCTCTTGGAAAAGTGAGTCGAGTTTTAATTACATACATTTAGTTTGATTTGTGTAGCATCCCTTGCTGATTACTTGCGAGA